CCTCCCAGCAGCCTACAAAGTGCAAGCCAGAGAGTGCGATTTTCCTCAGGCTTCTGTTGCTTAAACGATGGAGGCCCTTCCAAGACAGAAGAACCATTTGAAGCCAAAGAGAAAGTGTCTTTCTGGCAATTATATTAAAAGGCTAAACTCCTTCCAAGACCTGGGAGAATTTTCCAAAAGATGTGTTTACCCCTTTTCTGGCTTCTCACCTTTGGAATGAAAATTAGAGTCCCCAAACAAAACAAAATAAAAAAGGCAACGTGAAACAGTGCCAGCAGGCTGAAAATACCTCTGTCACCTTCTTTGTGTCCTTCTTTGTGTCCTCAAAACAAGCCTTCAGTGAGCGAAGGTTTTCCGTGTAAGTAGCCCAGCATGCCAGGACCTTCTGCAGAGTTGACTGCACATTCTCGATATTATTTTTGTACATACAAACATTCTGTTCCATAATCATGTATTGATCATTAATCGCTTCACATTTGCCAGCTGCGGTATTAGCAAAACAGGAAAGTAATCTCACCAGAACCTTTTTCTTAATAATACTATTTAAAAGCATTTGCATATTACTGGGTAGCAGGAAACAAAACATATTTTCTGATGGTATTAAAAGTGAAAGTAGCTGGCATGCTGGCTCATGCTTGTAATCCCAGCACTCTGGAGGCTGAGGCAGGAGGATTGTTCAAAGTCTGACACCAGCCTGGGGTACAAAATGAGCTAAAGGCCAGCCTGAACTGCACAGTGTGATCCTGTCTCAAGATGACAAAAAAAAAAAAAAAGCAAGCAAGCACAGACAGGTGTACTGGATCATCCCCGTAATGACAGCATTCTGGGAGGCTGAGGCAGGATGGCAAGTTCAAGCCCAGCCTGAGCAACCTGGCAACCTAGCAGGACAGCAGGACCCTGTCTCAAAAAAAACAACAGAACAACAAGAAAACACATTTAAAAAGAGCTGAGAAACAGCGCATGGAAAAGGTCCTGGGTTCAATCCATAGTACTGCAGTCTATCAATCCATCAATTAGCAAGCAAGCAAGACATTTCCAAGGAAATTGTGCATATACAAAATTTCCAAAACTGGGCTGGGGAGATAGCTCGGCAGCCCAAGCGCCTGCCTGGCAAGCACAAGGTCCTGAGTTTATCCCCAGTACCGCATGCCAAGCCGGCCTCACAACCCTGGGAGCGCTGCACAGGCCCAGAAACCAGGCGTGGTGCTGCACACCTGTAATCCCAGCTCCAGGGAGGCTGAGACGGGAGATGAGTCCGAGCTGCACAGTGAGACCCCGTAATTAAAAATTAAAAAATTCCAATTTAAGGTAGAAGAATGAAACCTTATTTTTCAGTGGTTGTCATTCCACTAAAAAAAATTAAAAATTACTTTACCCAAATTCTTACAAATTTCTCCACATCTTTGAAAAGAAGTATCAAGTCGAATTAGGAACTCTTTTTCCTCAATAAATTTCTGCAAGGAAAAGGGAAAAAAATTGATTATTACATTTAAAAATATGGCAAGCTATGCAGTCACTGATGAAGCCCTCAGCAACCGACCCTTCCTTAGTGCTTTAATGATATGCATTCAAGTAGAAAAAAAAGAAGGGCAGTTCCTGGGGGAGAGGCAAGATGTAGGAGATGGGAGTGAAAAGTGACAAGATTTAATGTGGAGAGACGCAAGTTCTACCACGGCTTTCCACTTGTGGGAAATGTACAGCAAACTGTAACAGTCCCGAATCTCCTACTCTACATATTTTGTATTCACAAATGCTCAATTTGTTCATCTGTTCTTCCACATGTGTTATCAACACTAGGTTTTTTGGGCTGGTGAGATGGCTCAGTGGTCTAAAGCACCTACTTAGAACAAGCTTAGCAAAGCACAGGGGCCGCGGTTCAATCCCCCAGCACCACATGCCAGCCAGCCCCGCCCCCTGGTGGGCTGAGCTGGCCCCACACACACATATAAATAAATAAATAAATAAATAAATAAATAAAAACACTAGGTTTTCGTTAGGCACATGATGCTAAAACCACACGCCATCCTGCACACAGGACGTCCAATAAACTACCATTAACTAAACTCTGCTATGGGAAAATACTGAACTATTTCAAAATGAGTATTTATTGTACTTACTGATTGCCACTGAACTATTGTAATTAAGTAGAAAAATGAAAATTCAAAGTTGGGGGCCAGGGAGACAGCTCAGTAGAATAAGTGCTTGCCTGGCAAGCACAGGGTCCTGAGTTCAATCTCCGATACCAGAAGAAAAAAAAAAAAAAAAAGAAAGAAAGAAAAGAAAATTCAAAGTTGGTTAAAGAAACAGAAGTATTCGGGGTTCGATCCCCCAACTGCCATGCTGGCCCCACCCCCAGAGTGCACTGAGGGGGTGATTGAGACTGGGTGTGGTGGCACATGCCCATAATCTCAGTGGGATTAAACAGGAGGATCACTCTGAGTCCAATCTGTGCAGTGAGACACTGTACTAGATACATAAAATAAATAAATAAATAAGAATGGAAAACAAATCTTTTACAAACAGGCCAGGGAAGAATAGATTGAGAGAGCTGAATGGAAAAAAAGAATTAAGATATATTATGTATGGGTACAAATTCCCTATGATGAATGTGAACAATATGTATGAAAATTATTTGCTAATAAAAGTTTAATAATAAAAAAATTCTATATCTAGTTGAAGGTGATGCTTGTTTTCGAATGTACAATGCTTAAACTATAAATTGCAAATAAATATCTCTTAATGAAGTTTTTCAGAGCCAGAGATACAGCTCAGTGGCATAAGCACCTGCCTGGCAAATGCAAGGTCCTGGGTTTGATCTCTGGTACCAAAAAACATAAACACAAACGAAATGAAGTTTTTCAATTTTGCATTGAAATGTATAAGCCTGGATTTTCCCTTTTTGTCCTTATTTCCAAAATCAGAGAAACTGAAAGAAGGATCAGGCCCAGCTGTAGATAACATTTCTGTGATGCTTCGGTTTTAATTTACCCCTGAAAGTACACCTACATTTAAATCCCTTGAGATATTTTTTTCCTATAAACTGGAAGAGTTAAACAAAAAAAAGTATCTCAAGACAAAACTGAGTATGTATTGTTCTCCCTACAATTAAAACTTAAGAAGCCAAGACCAAAATGTCCCCAACAAACTTAATTATTGAAACCATAAATTAGAAACAGAAAAAACATGTGAAACAAAAATTTCAAATAAAAGAGGAATTTATAATGGAAAAAACACTGAAATCGTCTCTGCTCTACTAACTACCCTGACTAATTCAATTTTGTAAACAACTATGTTTCTTTCCCCTTTCCCATGCCGGCTACTGGCCTACCTGTAACTGGCTTTTTTTTAGGCAACACGGAAGTTACTAAGAGCTACCAACCAAACCCACCCCTAAATCTGAAGGGCTAATAAGAAACTGTGCCCCAAAAAGGTAACCTAGCACCCAGACATGGAAAACAGTAGCCTAAGACAGAATGCAGCAGCTTACACGCCAGTCTTCCAGTGATAATTCCACGGACTCTTTATGCCCACATTTGGTGTTCCAGACTTCCAATTTTGCTTTTGCTTCGTCTAGCAAGCCAAGAACTGAGCACTTATGGTACTGAAATTCTAGAAGTGCAATCAAATTTTTCTCCAAAATGTTGTTGAGTCTGAAAAACAGTGCAGGTTTTAGAAATTTAACTTGATAGCGCTTCCCCCCTTGTTTTAAAACAAACACACCAGGGAGAAAACAACCGTCTCTAAGGTAGAAATACTGAACAGAGCAGAAATGATTCCTCTACTGCAAAATCCTGCAGCGAAGCACTGATGGGCAAGAGAACTTACTGAACTTGAAAACTTCTCTACAGTTCAATGGAACTACAATTTAAAAGTTTACATAAAACAGTTTTCATTATGGCTAACACCTTCTTATTCTACTAAGTTGCTTATGAGAAATGAGACGAGATGGCGTAGACAACCACCAATTAAATAATCATTCTGCTGACAGCATTCTACTGTCTGTGAAATGCTTTCAGATAGACCCATTTGGTCCAATACCCTCGTGCAATATGCACAGACTGGTTATAACTACGTACATCTACAAATAAGAAAACAAACTCCAAAGAACAAAGCTCACCTCATAGCATGCTACATTCCACAAGAAATGAGGCTAGCACAATATAGCACTACCTTAAACATGAAAGTATTTGATTAAGATTTAAGAGGACACCTTTCAGAAATCACCAAACATCTACCCTGCCGTGGTTCCTGCGGTGTCACGCTTCTGCTCAGACCTAAGCGCCTCCTGCTGCGAAACGACAGCGTTACTAACCGTCCTCTCATTTCCTCCAGTTTGGTAGGTGGCACCAGTGGCAAATGTCCCTCAGCTTCATTTTCAAAGGTCAGGAGAATATTTGAATGATAGTCAAATCGATCCATCAGATTCTGAAAGGAAACGTAGCAACATAAACCAGGTTTACCGCCCGACACTATTACTGAGTTTATCTCATTCACATAATGTTTTTTTTTTTACCCCCGAAACTCATATATCCCCTTTATGTTTAACTAAGATTTTATAGATAAATATCTCTTAAGCAGACCTCAGACCAAAGAAGGTAAAAACTATTCAAAAACTAACTTTGTTTACTGGTGTCACCTCCCTTTGAGAGCTCAAACACTACCTACCTCACTTACCCAATTATTTCATACCATTTGGGGGAGAACCCAATCTCACTCACTTTAAACCAATCTCCCTCCACCACCGCCTTTTCTTGGGCAGACCTTCCAGTTGCTTCGGAATTTACTCAACTCTATTCTTACTGTTTTGTGCTTCAGCGAACACAATGGTCATGAGTGTGGAAATACCTCTTCTTTCTATGGCAAAATCTTTGCTCAAGAACAGACCCTAACCCAGTATGGCTTTCCCTGTCTCTTTGCTTTGCCAACCTTATAGAGAGTCATTTTCTCGTGGATCAGAGTCACAGAGTCTGAGGAATCCTGGGAAGCTGTCAAGATTTCCTCCCCCAGCTCCTCCACATCCTGCAGGCAGGCCTCGACGTCACACAGGGGCGGGGGCAGGGCACCATCCAGCTTGGTTTTCCAAGCGCTAATCTGCAACCAAGGGAAGAGGTCCTTCAGCAGAACTTGCCTAGCTTACTTCTCCGCATCCAGTACAATTCATTCTTTCAAGTTTCTCTGCAAACCAAGACTGATACATGGGATCCATTAGCCAACCAAAGGCAACCTGAATCAACAGATGAATCTCTTAGCTCTATCATTTAGCTACTTGCAGATCAAGGATGTGTTCAAAAGCGGTAGGAAAAGAAGGTGCCAGTAAAAGACCTGTTTGGAGAAACGCATAAGTAAGTTCTATGGGGGAAACTGAAACTATTTAAAGCACTGCTCCAAGCAGGGAGGGTAATAATCCAGGACTATGACTTGAACTCTTTCCGTCCTTGCATTCTCTGGCACTGTATCTTCAATTTCCACACAGATGCAGAGACTGTTTTCCTTAGAGCCCTGAGCCTGTGTTCACATTCGCTATCTTCACCTTATCTCCTACAATCTGGCCTTCCCAGCACTGCCCCTGCAGGCACACCTCTTCCTTCCCTGCCTTCCTGCCACGCCCTGCGTGCACACGAGCTGCACAATCCCAAGGCTCGCGCTCTCCGCACTCTGCAGCCTTGCCTGCGCGGCTACTGTCCTTCTACCTGAATGTTCTGCCTTCCGAGCCCCTCACAACCATTCACTGGAGAGCAAATATTTACGAGTCAACTGTGAAAGACTGAGAAATAAAGCTGTCATAGGGACTGTCAGGGACAGCTGATGGCACCCACCGCAGGCAGCTGTGCTGCAGCTCAGAACAAACCACACACAGAACTGGTGACCTGGCATCCCTTATCTGCATATCCCCAGTCAAAAAGAAAAGAAAAAAACATGTAACTCACTTTACACACTTCAAGCAATAAATTCAAAGTGTATTTTGCAAAATCATGTGAGTGAAAGACTACATTAAATATATCAACACGAGCCAAGGAGACAGCTCAGTGGCACAGCACCTGCCTGGCCAGCACAAGGTCCTGAGTTCAATTCGAGGCACCAAAGAAAAAGTCACTAAATACATCAACGTGACTATCTGAGGAAGAATGGAAAGGAACAGAAAGTACAAATATAAAATACAAAGCACACAAAACAAATGAATCAAAACAAGAACAGGACTTTGCCCAGGCCCCTGTGCCATGAACGATGTGCAAGAGTTTAGTTGACTCCCTCGGTCAAAAGACCAGCCAGAGAAATGAGGGCCAGAATTCTTGACAGAGGCCCCTGTGCGGAGCAGATGACAAGTCATCTACTCATGGGGTACAGGAAGCTGCCACCAGTGACCAAGGGCACCACCGAGTCCTCGGCACTGGGGGGAGGTGTGGGAGGCCAATGACGACAGCATTTCTTAAGCATAATAAAATCCCCCTCCCTTCTGAGCTCCGCACTAATCCACCAAGAACGGGACTTGCTAGCCACTACCTCACTTTCGCTCTTGTGCTCCCCCTAACTCAACCTCAGGTCACTCCTCTGAACTTCGAGCCCAATCCAAGTGTTTTACTCCAATGACCTGATCTGGTGAAACTACAGGTCTGGCACCTGTGCTTTCTCTTTCTGGGATGGAGACCTAACATATGAACATTACTATTCTCAGAATTAAGCAGTTTTTAATTACAGCAAAGAGTACGTGACATTTGTATATGACATGGGTTGAGTCACTACTCATTTATTCAAAAATACTGGGTATCCACTACAGGCAAAGTGAATATCTAAGCAAAATTGAGTAGCTCAGCAGACTAAAGCACCTGCTCAGGCAGTTGCAGGGACTGGAGTTCGATCCCTCACGTGGCTGTGCCAGCCCCACCCCTGGGGTATGCTGAGATGGCGACTGAGACTGGGCATGGTGGAGCGCACCTGTAATCCCAGTGCTTGGTAGGATCACTATGAGTATAGGGAGACCCTATAGAACCTGTACTAAATACATTAAAAAAAAAAAAAAAAAAAAAAAAAAAAATTTTTTTTTTTTTTTTTTTTTTAAAAAAAAAAAAAAAAAAAAAAAAAAAAAAAAAAAAAAAAACTGTCTCATTGCTATTTGTTTCTCAATAAAATTAAGGAAAAAAAAAAAAAACCTGAACCAGCTACTCCTTCAGGTACAGAGTATCGGGACAGGAGCTGGGCAAGGAAGCAGCTCCACAGCAGAGTGCCTGCCTGGCACGAGCAAGGCCCTGAGGTTCAACCCAGAACCGCAAAAAAAATGAAGAAAAAAATCACACTCGCATAAGGCTGTCAAATGCAAGTATTTACCTAGCAGAAGCATTAAATACTATAGTTTTCGCATTGTGTTTTGTCTTTTTCTTTGCCTTGTGAGTTCATGCTCTGCGAAGGCTTCCTGGAAGAACAATCCTACAGCTGCAAATCATTAGCTACCCGCCCTCAGGACTCTGGCAATAAGGCTTTCATTACTACAAATTTGTAACAGAAGCAAGTTGGCATGAGCTCTTCGTCCCTTCTCTTCTGCGATGCCGGACGGGAAGCCGAGGCCCACCCGCGCCAGGCAGGGGTCGCACCGCTCTGCTGCGTGCCCAGTGCCTGCTTCGTCATATCTTACTGTCTGCATCCTTGCCAAAAAAATAGAAAGCCATAAAACTGATAAGTTCTTAGGTGGGTTAAAAAGAAGCTTTGAACAAAAACTCTTAGTTCAACGATAATCATTCACACAACTCGGAGAAAGTCATGTGAGACATTTGTTTCGAATAAAACCAAACCTGTGTTTCTGTTTGCTACTGATGCAGCAAACACAAAGGGATAACGAACACAACGCCTGCCTCTCGCTTCTCTCCTTTCTCATCTGAAGCAGAAAGAGGGCTCCACACTTCCACTCTCAATCAGCTTGGAATTTGGCTAAAAATTTATATAAGATCTTAGCGGATCAAAACCAGATAATGTTGCTCTCTTCCACAGCAATCTTAAAATGAAACCACTTCCTAAGATGCTTCCAGTGGTTTAAGATACCTGTGTTCTTGTTGTGGTTTTTGTCTAGTTGTCCCCACAAAGCCTCGTGCAGTCATGGGGTGGCTTCTGGAGTCTAATTCCTGATCCAGTGCTGGGATTATGGCTGTGAGCGCTACACCTGGCCTGGGGCGGACAGCCTGGGTGCAGCAAAGGGAGACAGACTTGGCCTCTGTAGCCATTTTTGTTGCCGCTACTCCTCCCTTTGCTCTTTGCTGCCCTCTGCCCTGTACTGCTCTGCCTCTGAGCCAGCTGAGTATGGACTGAAACCACCATGAACTGTGGGATAAGTAAACCTTTCCTTCCTTCATTTTGGGTGCCAGGTATTTTGTCCCAGCAATGAGAGAAAAGTAACCGAGACAGTTCTCAAGCTATTGAACCAGAAGCTATCTAGGTGGTGTTAACACTTACACACCTGACAACTTGAAAATCGGCACGTCCCACTTGGCCACGCCAAGCGAATGAGCTGCCATCTGCCTAAGGAAGGTTCAGATTTCCAAGATATTATCAACTTGTAGAAGTTAGTCGTGCAAAGCAATTCTTGGTGCGGTTTTGCTCATTATTAATGTAATTTTTCCAAATTGTATTCCCCCAAATTAAGCCAGGTCTCGATGCCCTGGAGCAGTGTAAACAGCACAGCTATGGTCTTCTTTCTCACTCTGACCTGGAAGGACCTGGCGCAGGCAGTTTCTGTCCGTGTGAGGGCCAGGCGCTGCACAGTGGCGGGCAGGTGCTGGCTATGCAGAGCCGCCGGCACACGGCTGAGGGCTGCAGGAGCCGTGCTCGCTCCCAGGAGCTGGTTCTCCTCAAAGGCAGTTCCACTAAGCTACTGGACGAGGACTTCACACACTCAGAACCCTAAGAACAAACTGTCCCTCCTGATAGCCAAACTTCTACGCAGGGCCAGCGTGAGGAGCTGTGGCTTCCTGGGTCTCCACGGTCTCTTGTAGTTTCTCTAAAATAAATGAACTCTGGAGTGAACTCACCTTCAATGAACTTTATAAATTCATTACAAAAATTCTTTTTCTTTTTGGTGCCAGGGATTGAACTCAGGACCTTGCGCTTGCCAGGCAGGCGCTTATATCACTGAGCTATCTCCCCGGCCCTACAAAAGCAATTTCATTATCCACTTAAAATGTTATAAGTAGATTATACCTCAATAAAGTTGTTTTTTAAAAGCGAAGGCATAATACAGACATTTAGAGATCAAAGAAAACTAAGCAAAGTCGTTAGTGTTTACAACAGTAAGTCTTTAGGCAGCGGCAGTGGCTCAATAGAAACTAAAATCTATAGGAAGAAGTACGAATGGTAAATGCCTAGAGAAATATGAAAACTCCAAATTTTGCCTCTCAAATTCTTGGAAATACATGGCTGTGTATGAGACTGATGCGCCACATACTGTCCTACTGAGGCACCTTAAAATATATAGCTGAGACCTGGGATATAGCTCAGGGGCACAGTACTTGCCTAGTAAGTGTAAGGTCCTTAGTTCAATTCCTGGTACTGAAGGATGGATGGATATATATATATATATATATATGAGATTAGAGTGAAAAAATTATACCAAGATCTTAGGAATTTATATGTACATGCTTAGTGCCATATGTAAATATGTATGACATATATTTACATATAACATAACTTGTATAAAGTATAAGAGATAAGTAAATCAGTTCAATTGTAAGACCTTTAAGATCTTTATGTGTCAAAAGAAATTATACAGTAAGAAACTGTACAGCTCTCACAGACCTAAAAGTCTGGAGCACGTATTGTAAGCCCTAGAGCAAACACACAAGTGGGGCATGAAAAAGCAGAGTCAGAAAGTGAACAGACCACTGGGCACAGCCGCGCACGCCCACAATCCCAGCACTCGGGGAGGCTGAGCCAGGAGGAGCACCAATTTGAGCCCACCCTGGGGATTGATCAGTGTGAAGGCCCTGGGTTCAATCCCCAGTAAAACAACAACAAAAAGAAAACAAACAACTAGACAAAAATCAGTATATCCAACAACCATCTCAACGATACCATGGGAAAATGTACGCACACTATCCCATTTCCGGCCAGAGCACCTGGCCCATCTTTCACAGAACTCTTCCGGAAGTCTGTAAAGTCTTCAACAACACACCCAAGCTGCCCTCGGAGAAAGTCCACCCCGTGCAAGGGTCACCTGGTGGTTGAGGCGGTCCCAGCCCTCTCTCAGCTGTCTCTGATCTTCACTGGGCTCTTGCACATTTCCCTTTAGGGACAGGATGTCCATGAAAGATTTTTTTTCTTCATTGAATGACTCCATAAAGGACAGCAGGCTCTACAAGTAGAAGAATGTTTGAACCATTAGAATACTCGTTCCATTTTCAAAGCATAATCTGCTATTTTTAAGTCTATAGCTCAAAATTGCTTGCTTTTCTTCTTTAATTTAGATCAAGGTAAAACCCCTGAATCCAGCATTCTGTCTCTGGTCTGGTTTCTTTTTGCAGTGCACCTTAATAATCTGGGTGACACTCATCTCAGCCTGTGACCTCTGTCGGTCCGGCTGGGTGTTTACTGGAATGGAGCGGCACAGCCACCCAGCTCTAGAGAGCAGATCACAGCCCTGGGTGGGTCTGTCTTCCCCGAAAGGTGCTCACACACAATAGCTATGCAGACATGAGAAGTGCGTCCCAGCAAACGTGCGCAGTGACACATGGAGCTTCTCATGGGTCCAGCCTGAGCCCGCCTTCCTGATTCTTTCCATGCTAAACACCACTTTCTTCCTGCCCTCAAAGATTTAACAGAAGACAGGTGTGGTGGCGCACGCCTGTAGGCACTCAGGTGGCCGAGGCAGGAGGATCCTTGCTAGTTCGAGACCAGGCTTGACTACCAAGTGAGCTCAAAGCCAGCTCTGCATAGCAAGACCCTACCTCAAAAAGAGAAGGAAAAAAATTAATTAATAGAGCTTTTCTTGGTTCGTATTTGTGTGAAATATTAGTATTTAGAATTTATCAGTTCCCAAAGTATTACTTAACTTACAACTATTGTCAGTAGTTATACTTCAATTTTATGTAAGCTGGGCACAGTGAAATATTCTTAAGAGTCACAACTGTTTGGAGGGCTGAGGCAGGAGGAGCATTTATTTGTCGATAAGCTCGAAACCACCTGAGCAGCATGAGACCTTGTCTCCAAAAAGAACGACAAAATGCAAAACTAGAGACAACTGCAGCAGTCCCTCAACGTGGAGATTACAGTCCAGACCCGCGTGATAAGTGAAAATCAGCAAAGTAGCGACATTATATTTATTTATTTATATATATTTAAGGCTTTATCAACCCTTCCCACACTCTCATAAAACTCTCCCACACATTTAAAAACATTTCTAATGTTCTTAATCATTTTCTAAACTTGTAAACCCACATAATTTTAACAACATATGTATACTGTATGGCACTGCAAAATCCCATGATACAGTGAAAAAATCCACAATAAATAACTTAGATTAATTTTTTTGAAAACCCATGAAATAGTTGAGTCCACAAAAGTCAAATCAGGAGATAGTGAGGGGCTACTGTAGTTTGCTTTCTCTCCTTTTGATACTGACTACATAAAACCTTTTAAGTAACATGAATCTACTATATATAACTTCACTAAATTGTACATGTATCTGAGAATAAGGCTTTCCCACTTGCACTGAGCATCTTCTCAATAAAAAAGACTCTCAGACCAGAGCAGGAAGAAAAGCAAGAATCCTGCCCTGCTCAGACCAAAAGACAAGAATACCCAACATCTTCTTCCTTCAATGGCTCCAAACCAGAAAGAATGGTCAGGCCCACAAGTCACACAATACACCAAACTTCAGAGGTGGAAAGGCTAGACTCTTCCACCTCCCTCACTTAAGAGGCAGCCTGTAATCCCAGTTATCTGGGAGGCTGAGGCAGGAGGACGACAAATCCACTCAGCCCGCGCAACTTAGCAAGTCTCTACATAAAAATAAACTATAAAAGCTGGGGAGGCAGGTAATACAGCACTGGCTGAGCATATGCGTGAGGCCATGGCTTCATACCTCAGCATAAAAACAAACAAATGAATGAACTGCAGAGAGGAGAGCGGAGAGAGGGGAGGGGGAGAAGGGAGAGAGGGAAAAGAGTAAGGGGGAGGGGAGAGGGAGAGGGGAAAAGGGGAGGGGAAGGGGGGAGGGGGGAGAGGACAGAAGGAAAAAAAACGGCACAGAGGTGTTAGGGGTTCGTGTCTGGCTGTCCTCCCAAAGTCTCATGCAGTCGTGGGGTGGCTTCTGGAGTTTGTGATTGTTTTTGTTTTTGTTTTTGTTTTGCTCCGAATGCCTTCAGGGCAGGTTTGGCTGGCTTGAGTTGAGGGGTTTGAACCACAGCAACCTGAGCCTGACTACTTTGTTGAAGCAGCCACTTAAAGAGCTGAGCTAAGGGGCAGGCCCCCTGTGATTGATTCTTGACCCAGCGCTGGGACTGCAGGGGTGGGTGCTCCCCCCTGGCCCTGGGGTGTGCAATGGGCATTACAGCGGAAGGAGGGCAGAGAGGCGAGGAGCTGCTGCCCTCCCTTTGCTCTTGCTCCTTGCCGCTGCCATGAGCTGCTGCCCTCTGCATGTGCCGCTCTGCCTTGGAGCCAGCTGAGCATGGACTGAAGCCTCCACTGACTGTGAGCTAAATAAACCTTTCCTTCCTTCTTTCTGGTATTGGGTATTTGTCCCAGCAGTGAGAGAAGAGGCCTAGAAGTGGACAGCATGACGGTACTTCCACCTCATTCAGGACAGAGGAGGAAGAAAGGTACAAGGAGTGCAGACAACAAGCCCAAAGGACTGGAGCTGAGAAGCCTGCACTCACAACCACTTACCCCAGCAAAGCAGGAGATCGCCAAAGGTGCCAGGAGCTGAAAGCCTGACCTTCAATCACTTCCCCTAGGCCTACTAGTGGCTGAGGAGCCTTTGATAACCCTTACTGCCCTCATCTATATACCCAAAATAATAATACCAAGCTCAGCAAGACGTAGCAACCTATAAAATGCCCCTTGGCATGGGCCCGGGACACAGCAGATGGTCCACACGTAGTGATACTTCCTCTTGGCTGAGGCCTGGCCCTGAAATTCTGGGTTGTCTCTGGCTGACTTCCTGATTTTTCCTTTCCTGCTGCTAGATGTTTGTGTGTGCTCTGCTACAAACCAGGAGCTGGAGAGCTTTTAATGTGAGGGATAAGGTAAATGTCCCAGGCTGATGGGCTGTACCCAAATCGGGGTGTACAGTGACCGGACTTAAACAAGCGCAGCTCTAGTTCTGCATCATTCTATTTACAAAATCGGTCTCGGGCCTTCTGCGCTGCAGGCCGCCAGTGCCTGCTGTGCATCTCTCTCCTCGAGTACTGCAAAGCGCAGGAGACCGACCTCCCCTACATCCCTGTCCAAATGCAGTCGCAGGCCCTGCTGCAGAACTTCTGGGCCCAAACACGCATTGTAACCAGATTACCTGTGAGCTCAATGTGCATGAACACACGGAACACGGTCCTAGAATTCAGCCCTAAAGCTTGGGGTTGACTTAACGTTTCAATATTTAACCACAAAAGAATTTTCCAAAGATTCATTCTCCATTCTTTCCTGAACGAATAAACAACAGGGGTCCAACAGCACACTCACTTGACACTTATTAAAGTAGCTCTGGTTTTCTGTGTCCTTTTGCACCTGCTGGAGCGTTTTCTCTTGCAGGGCGAGCCAGGCCATTGCGTCTTCCATCTTGCCCTGTAATTCACACAATTGCACACATACACACATACACTTATGATTATATGAGGATTTTTTTTAACAATACAATTTTTTTTTACAATTTTAACAATACTTGAAATTTCTGTGAAATAACATCACCAGCATACGCTGATGATTCGCTATACGCTAAGGAGTAATTTTTCTTATTCATATATAACACCTTAAATTTTAAAATAGATTGAAACCAGCATCTGAACATCATAACGTGCTTTAAAAAGGAGTAAGGAGGAGCAACGTCCCCTTTTTTCCTGCCTATTCATTTCTATTATTCTTCGATTTTGGAGAATATTATTCCAAATCACTGCTCTATAACAGGCAATTTTGAAAGAGTGCGTCCCAATAAATCTATATGGAAGATGTTCACTCTCTAAAGAATAGTGACTTAAAAAAAAAATAAATCTCAAACATTTTAAAGGTCCTAAAATAGTACTCCCACCAGGAGAGGTGGGATATAACTGTAATCCCAGCACTCGGGAGGCTGAGGCAGGAGGATCACTGGGAGTTCCAGACCAGCCTGGGCTACAAAGTGAAACTCTGGCCCCCCCAAAAAACAAAAACTCCCCTGACAGTTTAGACTGTTCATGCCTTCATGCAGTCTTTTCCAGTGACTTCTGCTTAGCTCCTTGCTTAGGAGGAAGCTTATGTTTAGGAGCAGATTTTACTACTAACAGATAAGGCGGAAGTTATATCTTAGTCCATTCTTTTTTACCAACATTCGCCTTTCATTTCCTCCAGCAAGCCAAGAGCATTTCTAGTATCTTTATATCCAATTTCATGGACAGTTGAATTTTTGCTTTTATATTTAATATGAAAATTAATTAGAAAAGGGCTGCTCCACAGCAGCCCAGAAAAAAGTGAGCTGACGGATAGCCCTGGGTCTTGACTTCAGTCTGGCTTCCCACCTCCACCGTCACCGCTGCAAAACTAGGCCCAGCTTGTCAAATAAAATTTAGGTAAACATGTTTGAGGAGGCAGTTTTAATGCTAAAGTAATAATCATGAAGAGGTTACCAAGTCACAACACTTATTTCTCTTCATAAAAGCAGAGTAAGGATTCTGCTCAGGAGTTTGGTGAATTTTTTTCTGGGTGAACATTTCTACCCATATTTTATGTAGCAAATCGAAAGGAAAAGGAAAAGACTGAAGAATCACGTAGGAATTTCACAGTAACTCAATAGGCGGAGACCAGGAGCAGAACACAATGCTTCTATTTATGTGAACTACACAGTTCCATTTACATGACGCTAAAAAACAAGCAAAATGGAAACATGCTAAAGTCAGATGGCCACAGCCAAAAGTCTATGGACACGCACTAAAATCCACTGAGTCATACACTTTGAATAGTTGAATTATGCCAGGGGTGGTGGCGCCCGCCTGTAATCCCAGTACTCAGGAGGCTGAGGCAGGAGGATCATTATGAGTTCAAGACCAGCCTGGGCTGCACAGTGAGCTCAAGGCAAGCATGAACTTCATAGTGAGACCCTTTCTCAAAAAAACGAAAAAAAAGTTGAATTTTATGATATGCAAATTTTATCTTGACAGACTACAAAATACAATAGATAGATAGATTAAAAAAAATAGATAGATAAAAAAAATTGATAGCTCTGCCATTGTTTAAGATCCACCTTAATTTAATTTGGGATGAGGAGCTGGGGCAGCAAAGAGGCAAAAAGGAGGGTATTACCACTGAGGGTAATAAAAGTATTTCATATTTACGAGTATATACATTTGTCAAAACCCAACAAGAAGTACATGTAAGTTCTATGTGCATTTATAATTCACTTGAAAAAATTAAGCCAACAGTTGTAAACAACAAAAAGGAGTTTCATTTGCAGTGACAAAGACACACCTGAGTCCGGCCTCGAATCACAGGTACATTCTTGGAATACTGCAGGAACTGCGCCACGTACGTCATGATTGACTTCTCATCAGGATTAACAACGTCCACATCTGCAAGAGATACCGTGCCATCAGCGAGCTGGGCATGTGATCGCCTATATTTAGCACGGAGAGAACTGTGTCACGGCCTAGGCCACCGGACTGACCAGCTCTTGGAAGTACCTGACAAGGCCGGCATCGCCGCGGACTCAGCACTGCTGACCCAGGTCAGGGGCCAGCAGCTCGTATCTAGAGAGGCAGAGATCTGGGCGGAGCCCTGGCGAGACACAGGCAAGGCCTCAGTGTCCTTGTGCTAAAGTGTCCTGTGGCTGTTGTACGGCGGAGGACACAGTGGTCAGAGAGTTCCAAGAAAAATCACACCATTCCCCCTCCTGGGGACACAAGGCAGAAATTCCTCTGGGAATGCAGGGCTACAGCCACAGGACAACGGTCTAGCATCGTGCTATAAAGCACTTCCAAAAGAACCCGTTAGGGGCCGGGGAGATGGCTCAGTGGAATAAGCGCTTCCCTGGCAAGCGCAAGGGCCTGCGTTCAATCCCCAGTTCCACCAAAAAAAAAGAAAAAAAAAAGAACACGTTAAACGGGAGGCTGGCTGGGGACACCCAACAGTCCAGTCATTCATTATGACACAAACTTGCTGAGCACCTTCTGAGGGCCAAGCTCTGTGCTGCACTCAAGGGGTCTATCATGGAATAAGTCTGAAAAGTGCAGAATTTCACAGAGCTAAAAAGAACTTAATTATTTAGTCTTTTGAGACAGGGTCTCTCAATGCAGCTCAGGCTGGCCTGAACTCACTTTGTAGCCCAGGCGGGTCTAGAACTCACAGCAAGCCTCCTCCCTCAGCCTATCAAGTGCTAGGATGACAGGCGTGCACTGCCACACCTGGCCCAAGAATTTAAAAATTTTAAGTTCAGAAGCTCTAGGGATATAAACAGAGTGGATCACAAAATCACAAAACGGACACAACGTGTCACCGCCAAACCACGAAATTTTATGTCTCTTTATATAGTGCCAAAACAAATCATGTACGACCTAGCAAGGCCCTGTCTCAAACAAAACCCGAAAAAACTATAAAAAAAACTTTATGAAAACAAATAATGCAAATTAATGAAAAGGAAACCTTTTCTGTTTGCTAATTCAGTTAAACTCAACGCAGTAAGTATTTGTAAGTTAGCAAACTGGATAACAGGCAGGCGCTACACAGAATACGGTGGCACGCTCTTACACTAAGGGACCCTGTGTTCATTCCCTCACTCACTCAATAAGAAGATGCTCAGTGCTCTAAGATATGACTGGCACTCGAGGAGAAAGACGAAAAGAAAATTAAACAATCAGCAAACACAACAGACTGTGAATATGTTAGTGGACATGTTCACTGGGCCCCGAAAGTCTCTAAGGCAGCTGAGGCAGAAAGTGAATTTAATCCATATACAAATACATAATTTAAGCCAGTAAGCTTAAAAAAGCTACCAAGGAAAGGCTGGGGATGGGGTTTCAAATGTAGTAAAGATTCCTAACAAATAAGTTATTGTTTAATGGAAAAAGTACAACTATCGAAAGATGCATAAAATAACGACACGGGCTTGAGTAAATATTTCTTTTTAAAGACACCTTATATGATGGGCTCGCTTCAGCAGCAGATATACTAAAGATACCTTATATGAAACCATAATGTACAGTGATGGACGAGTTTAACAAAACCAAGTCACTGGGTTAGGGAATGAGAAAGAACTGAGAGGCCTTAAGTACCTGCAGGTGCCACTTGCCAACGAGGAACACAATCCCTATGTATTGCCAACACATACCAATAAAAAGGAAAATTTTTAAAAGTGAATCCCAAGATTGTCCCCTTAGTTCAAATATGACTGTGGGGCTTAGTTTGACTAAATAATGATGTACTTCCCATTCTCGGGCTATTATTTGAACCATCTTTAATGGGTTATCAGCAATCATTCATACAGTGGAAATATGTTTTGTGACATTTTCTGTTCCATTAGCTGACTTATCATTTTCATGTACTACAAAAAAGGCAACACAGCTACTGGTAAGGCTGAGGCAAGAGGATCGCTGACCTAGCAAGACGAGAAGGAAAAGGAGGGGGCAGAAGAAGAGCAAGAGAAGGGAGAAGAAAGAGGAAGGAAAGGAAAAGGAGAAGGGGGAGGTGAAAATGCTGTATACCAACGGCAGGATTTAGAGAGCCACATTACAAGATTTTCAGAAACAGAAGCAGGCAATTAGAAGAAAGCACAAAGAAAACTAAAGGAAAGAACATAATGAAAGCTAAAAAGGGGAGGGAAAGGCAAAGAAAAGGCCAGGGAAGAAGGTGAAGTGGGAGCGGCAGTGGGCAGAGCAGTACACCTGCCAGGCGGAGCCAGACCTGGGCCCACACTGGCACACAGAGCCCAGGGCTGGCAGGCCACTGTGAGCCGCCAAACGTCACTGACGTGGCTGGGTGTTTCTTCTATTCATTGTATTTCTACTGACTGATACAAGACAAAACGGGGAAATGGTTAATATAAATAGAAATCCTAGCCAGGCATGGTGGTGCACACCTGTAATCTCAGCACTCGTGAGGCCGAGGCAAGAGGACTGTGGTGAGTTTGAGGCCAGCCTGAGCAAGACTGGGATATTCTTCCAGTATCTGATTCAACAAAGAAGCCATTCTCATCACTGAAGAACGCATGAAATTCTGACATACTGCTCTGCTTTCCGCGTGTTCATTACCATAAAGAAAACCATCAAGTGGGCTGGGGACCTAGCTCGGCGGCCTAAGAGCCTAACCAGCAAGCGCCAGGACCTGGGGTTCAATCTCTGGTGCCGCGTGCTACACCAGCCTCCGAACTCTGGGCACACTGTGACAACCACTAAAAGAGGGCGTGGTGACACACACTTGTAATCCCTGAGCTGGGGAGGCTGAGACAGGAGGATCACTATGAGTCTGAGCTGTGTAGCGAGATGCTGTGCCAAACAAATAGATAAGATTAAAAAAAAAAAAACAAACCCAAGTGACATTCACATCAGAGCTACACTCATTCAGCAGCTCAATGCTACCTCACCTGCAGATAGGTACGAGGGCTGGGCAAAAACCCACAAGGCATTTGGGGACTATTTGGAATTTACACAAAGTATGCATACATTTTATTACGTGTAAGACTACATGTTCTTTATCTCACTAAAATGTGTAACGAAAGACATGGTGTGTGTATTTCATGCTGCTTTTGGAGAAACGGTTGGTGAACACTTACACATTGCTAGTTACAAAGCTGAGACAAGAATTTCTTTTATCTCTTGGTCCACTGGTCCATCCTAATTGTGAGCCCAGATGCTGCTTTCTAACTACTTTAGTGTGTGTGTGTGTGTATGTGTGTGAATCAAATCAGGGCCTTGCACAAGCTCCATCCCTGAGCTGTATCAGCTGGGACTTCTATTCTTTTCAGTAGCTTTGTTTGGATATACTGTACATAAAAATAATACCATCCAAAACAAAGTACTTTACAGAAAGAAATTATTCTATTCTTTAATTCTGTGAAGTTAAATTAGATTATAATTGGATGATAACCTGTGAACACAAGTAATTCCATATTTGGGGTTTTCTTGTTTTTGCTAACACTCCATCCAGCACCACTTACTGAGCGGAGTCAAGGGCAAGCCCTGGCCAACCATATAAGGTGACCAGGGAAAGGCCCAGGCTCTGCTCTTTTAGAGCTGCAGCTGGGCTGGGCAGAGGGGGAGAAGCGAGATCCCTGAAAGAACTGAATTCAAGGCTCAAAAGAAGCATACAGGCTAAATTCAGAACAAAAATAAGAGTCAAGGGCTGGGGAGATAGTTCAGTGGTCTAAGTGCCTGCCTGGCAGCCTCCAGAACCCACAGTATGTTGTGCCAGCTGTTGAAACTGGGCGTGGTGGCACACGCCTATAATCCCAGCGCTAGGGAGGCTGAGTCAGGAGGATCACTGAGTCTGAGCTTTGTGGAGAGACCAAATAAACAAACAAACAAATGATTTTAAAAATTTTAAAAAAAGAATGAAGAGTCAAGAACAGCACTACATGCAAGCAACAGAAGGTCACAAAGACAAAGGCCCACGCAATTCCTGAGGAATCGCTGTTTCCTATTACCTGTGGCCTCACCCTGCCATTGCTGCAGCAAACTAATCGGTAGGAATTCCGAACTTCATGAAATTCAATGAAGAGCTTAAATGAAACCCTCCCGGGCTAAAACATAAGGCTGTTATATTTGCTTTTATAGAGACACTCCTTTAAAATCCATTTCATGGTTGATCTTAAAAGAAAAACTATTTTAAAAACAACAAAGTTTGCTTACCTTCCGGTTCCAGCAACCTGGGGATTTTCAGCTCTCGTTCCGCAATTTCAAAGGCCTCTTTCAGATTGTCCTTGTTGGATTTCTGCTTCACACTCTTCAGGTCAATGAGGTCCGGTCGCAGGGCATGAATGACAGCCAAAAAGGCCAGGCCATTTCTCCAGCTTGACTTAAAATCCGTCACACTGACAGACTCATGCCTGTCACAAAAGGACACGACCCATACTGCTGAAAGTAATAATCAAAATCCTCCCACTACAGCCGATATAATTAAAACCGAAGTCACTGGACTGAAAAAATAAAATCATTTGAGCAAATGATTTCTATTTTAATCCTGTTGACAAATTAAAGTACAATGCCGGGTTCAACGATGATCAAGTTTAAAGACGGACCTCCAAGTGGGGGCTCCGGCCAGCAGCTGTACTGGGTGGTAGGTGTTAGGAATGCAGGCTGTGGGGCACTTCCAATAACTGCAGATTCACCCTCCAGGGCCAGCCCGGCATCCCGGCCTTCAGGAACCCCACCCAGGTCATAATCGCTCTTAAGACTGAAGATTATGATGCCTTCATCCAGAAATCTGTAGGCTCAAGGCCGATGTTAGACCTCTACATAAGTTAAGATCCTTTAATACAGGGAACAGCTTTTGTTTTTGTTTTTCCACCCTGGAGGACATTAAGTGATTGCTCAGGCCAAACCAATGGCCTGTAGCTCACTGGACAGGTCACAGCTCACAGCTCATCTTGTCTTCCTTCTGCTTAACATCTGTCATTATGGATGCACTGATAACAAACATGGTCTTCACATACCATGGAGTAGTATGCAGCCTTAAACAGGAAGGAGATGCTGTGAACTGCGATACACCACAGACAAATTGCACATTACACTGACTGAAACAAGCCAGTGACCAAAGGACAAATACTGACTGATTCACTCACACAAGGTAGCTCCAGCAGTCACACTGCCAAAGACAGGAAGCAAAATGGGCTGCCGAGAGGAGCACTGGGCAGTAGCCTCCAACAGGTGTGAAGTTTCAGCTCTACAAGATGAAGCAAGTTCTGGCCATGGACTGCAGTGACGGCAGCACAACGAAACTCTAAGTGCCACTGAGTTGTATGCTTGAAAATAATGGTGCTCTGTCTGGCAGCTCCACCAAGGCTGGCCCGCAAGGCACCGTGGGGTCCGCCTGCCTACCCATCGCCCTCTGCATCTTCCCTTCTGTTCAGTACCAGCACCAGGCTGGGCACTCTCCAGTGTCTCGAACCACACTCCCAACTCTCGCTCTCAGACACTTTCCTTCTCCACGCTCTGACCCATCCAACACCTCGCCTTCAGGCGTGAGCTCCGAGGACCAGGGCGAGGCCTCCCCGGCCTCCTCCATGAGCAGAGGCCCTCTCTCTGCCTGAACTCTCCTGACCAGACAACCAGTCATTCCTGATGCTGCTGCCAGCTGGAATCACCATAGCGCTTCCTGTCTCCCCCGCGGGGTGCACAGCCCCGAGCAGCAAGGGCCTGCCCTCCCGGCTCGGGGCCGCAAAGTCACTGCCAGATGCAGCCTGCCAGGCTTCACCTGCGGCCCTATAGATTCTGAGTCACTCAATCAATAATACTCCTGTATTAAATATGGGATCAATGGAAATCTCGTAAGTGTGTAGCTGCCCACAGTGTTCAGGAAGTATTCCACAACAACTATAATTTCCTTTAATATCTAATAAAAACAAAGAAATTCAATGTCAATAAAACTTTGAAAAGAAAAAAAAAAAAAAAAAAAAGAAATTCAATGAGTTATGTTATGAATCAAATGGTAAGAGACCCTCCAGGAAAGTGGGCAGCTAAAACAGACCAAGAGAGCTTGCCTGGCAC